GGCTGCGGGCGACGTGTCTGGAGCCTCCGCCGCCCGGAGAGCCCCAGGGCGGCCCCTCCTCCAGCCCCTGCAGCGCCCGTCTGTCCAGGGTGGCCGAGGTCGCTGCCGCCAGGGGTCGGGCTCGGGGTGGGGCCGGGAGGGGGCGGGTGCTGGGCTGAGCTGCGTTTCCTCACGTTTGCAGCCGCGGCACTCTCCGCGTCCTGGGGCTGGGGCCCGGCCCGCGACGACTGCGGGAGGGAGCGCAGCGGAGCACGTCCCAGGCAAGTCCTTGCGCGCGGCCCGGGCCACGGAGACTCGCTCTTCCCCGACCCCCGCGCTACCTGGCGGGCCTGCCTGCCCCTCCCCCCGGGATGCCCCTCCTGGGCGCGCTGCAGCCTCCGGCTTCGACGGGTCCTCGCCGCGGAGGTGGCCGGGTGGGAACTGCCTCGAAGTACACCTTCTGCCGGTTGGGTAGGGACGCCCCTCGAGGGGAGCAGGTTTTCTCTCGCCGCCCCTTTCCTCCCCTTACACGTTTCTCTTTTCTGCCCCGGTCCTGGAGACTCTCTCATCAGAATTAAGAAGCCATAAAGAGAGCAAAGGGGGAAGAGGCTGGGCGCCGAGGGGAGAACCAGTGCGCGGCGTGTCTGGAGCTGGCGCCGCTGCGGAGCGCAGCGCGGGGGCATCCCTGCCCAGACCGGCCCAGTCCCGGCCGTTCGCCCAAAGGCTTCCTTCCTTTTTGGGGAGCGGAGGGTCAAGATGTGCCTTCCGCTTCAAACTGCTTCTTCTGCCCCATTTCTTTAGGACTTCAAATGAGTTTTTCGGAGGAACATAAACACCAGAGAAGGAGCAAGAGGTGGGCGTGGGGCGTTGTGCCAGGGTGCCAGCTGCGGCTCCGGGGCTTCTCACACTGCTGCGTGATGTTGCACTTGGGGCCAAGGCTCCAAAATTGTCCTGATGTTGTTCTTAATATATCTGACCACCCCTTCCTCCTTCGTTGTTTTTTCTTTGGTGACAAAACTTTCAAAGCCAAAGATTTTGAGAGAATAGTTTTTTTTTTTTTTCCCTTCATTTCAGTTGCATCCAGTTGACATCTTTTGCTTAATAAGAATTTGTAAGGCGGGGGTGAAAGGAATGCGGCCCTGTCTTTAGGAAGCCGATCATCCGATGGAGGACACAGTGCCCAGAATTCAAGGTGGGAGCCTCCACCCTGTTTTGAGAAGCCGAGGAGGGTTACAAATCACATCACCTTTGCAGATGTTAGCCTTCCCCATTGTGTGCCACTTGAAAGTAGATGGCTTTACCATGGCAAAGATGTAGCTTGTATGTCCAGACTGTACCCAGCCCAGTGCAGGACAGCTACTAAGTGCTAAGTAAATGTTTGTTGAATGAGTGATGAGTGCCAGAGCATGAATTGTTGGCGCTTGCTGACATAGAAGAGAAATAGCATTGTGGCAGTGGCTCATGCAATAGAAATTATGTTCACCAAGCTATTTATGTGAGTTTTCTCTGGCTGTTAGACCTTTAGTATAAGACTCTGTGTATCCTTTGGTTCTGTTTGTAAGTTTTTCCCTTCCCCCATAAAACTGGCCTTCCCAGTGGAGTTTTAGCGGGCAGATAAGGGGCACCTTGCTTTTTCCTATCTCTGATGGGTAATTGTCTGGGCATTGATTTGGAAAGTGCCTGCCCTTTGGATGGAGGATTTTTGCAAATCTTTCTTTTTCCTTGTCATTGGCATCTTCTCTGTTCTGTGTAGGGAAGTAGGGCTTGCTGATTCCATTGAGTTATCATGGTGAGCTGAACCATATTCAGCTTGGTATTTTATCAAAGTTGAGCTAAATCCTGAAGACATGCAGCTTTTGGTTGGTGGCTGCCAGTGGAGAAATTCTTCAAAAGTTGGGTCTAGAGTATAACTTAATGGTAGGGTGCTGGCTTAGCATGCGCTGCAGGGATCCCCAGTATGCCAAAAAGCAAAAAAAAAAAGAAAAAAGTGGGAAGGGATCCAGGTTGGACTGCTGGCATTGCAGAAAGTGCTAGAACACTAGCACTGGTGTGCAGAAAGTGCTAGAACACTAGGAATACCTGGGCAACAGGAGCCTGTGTGTGTGCAGCTGGCACTTCCTCGATGATTTCTGTCCTTTTCCTGGGGCAGGTACACAGGTGAGTGCTGCCCCATACAAGGCTGGAGAACGCAGGGTAGATCTGCTGTGGACCACGGTAGAGCAAGTACCCCTTCTGATTCACTGAAACTCTGACAGCTCTATTTATTCTGTCTGAGATCGACCTAAGCCTCGGAAAGAGGACGTTGGGTCGCTCAGCCTCCTCCCCCTGCCCACTGTGAGTGGTTTGGGTGACCTTACTTTCAGTTTCTCATCTGTCTTAGTGAGCAGGGTAGGACTCCAGCTAGCTAGTCTTGAAAGGGAAGGAAGCAGAGCAGCTATTACAGTGTGGCAGTCTATGGGGAGAGAAGAACCTCAGCCTTTCTTAGTACAAGCATTACTGAGCCAGGGACTTGGACAGGCTGGGGAGAGGGGGCACTGAAGGGGGACGGAGCACCCTTTCCTCTTGGTGCAGTGGGGCTATAAGTGGAAGATCCTGTTGACTTCTCTTCCCAGTTTGAGTGGCTCTGCTTTCCTCTTCCAACCTTTTAGGCCTTGTAGTTATCTTCCCTCTGCAATTTACCTTCCCATCCTTCTCTACCCTGATCCAAGCTGGTTGAAGTGGCTTGCTGCTGATTAAAGGCTGAATTGGTTCTTTCACTGTGGAGGTCTCAGCCCTACTGGGGCTTCTCCTGCACCCAGAGTGGGCAAAAAGCTCTTGGCTTGTGGTCTGTTTTTTGGCCTATAGAGGCTGGCTGAGGTAAAGAGGTAGGAAGTGAGGTCCTTTGGCCCCTGGGTGCTCCAGAAACACTGCTGCTAAAGTGCAGAAGCGGGACTCCAGGACTCACTGTCCCAAAGGCTAGGACTGCAGCTTGGCTGGCCACAAACAGAGAAAGGGAGAGGCAGCTGCAGGGTCCCTTTTGGAAACCCAAGAGTCCAGTCTGGGTTCTGTTAACTTTCAGGTGGCCCCAGCTAAGACAGAGTTTGTGGGTCACTTGGATTTTTAAAAAAATCTCTTCTAGAGATGGAAAATGCAATGGTTCTTGGAGTAGAGGAAGAGTCCCTTTACTTGTGAGAGGGCACTGTTGGTGCAAACTTTCCACTGAGGTTTGCTCGTTGACATCTGTGGAGTAGAGATGGCTCCTATAGCTGTCTGTCCTGGGCTAAGGACAGTAGTAATGGCAACCAAGTGTGATTTGTTAGTTCTCTTTCTCATAGGTGTGTTTGTTTTTGCATTGTTTTGTTTGTCTTTTGGTGCGGATGCTTGAACCCAGGGCCTTCCTAATAAGCCTGCACTTTAGCACTGAACACACACATTTTAACGTAGCATTTATTTAGTGCCTTTTCTGTACCAGTTCCTTGTGTTAAGTCCTTTTCACATATTATTTCACTTAATCCTTATAGCAACCTTTAGAGTAGGAAAATTGATTATCTCTATTTCTCAAAGGAGGAAATAGGCCTAGAAGAGTTAAGTAGTTGGTCCACATTAGAGTCCAGGTCTGTCTGGTTCTAAAACCCACACTGTTTCACTTCCCTCTCAACGTGATGGGTAACCAAGTCATCACACCCTTCTTAATAGTCACTGTCTTGCAAAAGTTAAAAGATACTTATGCTGATTGCTGTCACCTGCATATCCTTCTCGCCACGCCCAGGCTGTCTTCCTTCCCTAAATAGAGACTTGCCTTCAGGCAGACACACCTAGCCACTTCCCCCTGCACTGCGAGCTAAGCCTAAGTGGAGGAAATAATGATGTTTTCTCTTCCCCTGCTCTATCTCAGTGCCCTCAGGTTGACACATTGTTGGGTAGGGCTCTGGGCCTCCTGTGCAGCTGTCGCAGGAAGCCCCACAGTGAAGCTGCGTTCTCGTGTTTTCTAAATGGGGATTTTCAGGATTCTGAATGTGAAATCTCCCCTTCTGCAGGTCATTTATAGACCGGATGTGGCTGCCTGCTTGCCTGCCTGCTCCAGTGAGGTTTCTGCCGGAAGTGGTCTAAGGCGCCTTCAGCCACGGGCAGGCCTTTGTCACCTAAGGGCTGCAGCAGCCATTTTTTCTGTGAATGTGGAGAGGTGGCTGTTCAGAGAGGTCACGAGTCTAAAAATTTCGTTTTTTGGCATCTTCACTTCAGTGGTATCAGTTTTCTGTTAGTTTTGCCTTTTCTGCAATATTTACTTCCTTTTTAAATGCCTTCTTAAGTGTGTGTCTCCTCTCCCCAGTGCTGGGGTCCAGGGCCGTTGGGCCATGTCAGGGTTGGCGGGCACCCTGTCCGCACCTCCCCATTCCTGAGGGTGTTTGCATTCCTCACCCGGCGCTGGCGCTTCCGCTGGGAACGTGGGCTCGGTACATTCCCTTCTCTTTCACATTATTCTCCTGCCTTAGACTGTTTGGAATCTGCTCTTATGATCATTTTTAGCGATCGATATTACAGCAGCGAGAAATGGATGGTTCCACACTTCCTAAATTCTGATGTTTGGCCTCTTCTCAGGGTTGTGCACTGAAGTAGCCAACATTTGTTACTGTTTTTACTGCGTTATTGGCATCACTGAGGCCGTGTGGCTCCACAGTACGTGCCCGTGTGCATTCACTTCTAAGCACACACGAACTCGGCTGCTGTGACCCGGCGTGCTGGAGCTGTAGTTTTTGCCCGCCCTTAATGTCCTCCACTGCGCTCCTGGCTGCCGAGTTACTGGTCTTTTCCTGGTAAACTTTCCTCTCTTACAAGTTCAGCTCTTTTCCTCTCTCCCTGCCTTTGCTGCTGTTGTCTCTGGCCTCTGTCCTGAGAGGGCCCAGTACAGGAGATGTGCTCCCTGCAGGTCCCACAACCCATCACAAGGCATCTGCTTTACTTTTTTCTGGAACAAAATTCCAGCAAGCCCCTGTCCTGCCATCACACAGAAATCTCTCTTTGTCTTTTTTTTTTTTTTTTTTTTTCAGTTTTGAACTGAGGTTGTTGGTTATTTTGTAATCTGGACAATACCATTTAAGGCTTTCTGTTATCCTGGTCTCTCCTTTTTATTGATCTCAGGCATATCAGAATCGTCACGCAGATGAATCACTCATATTTTACTTTAGTGTTTCCTTTGTTTTGAAACTGTATCAGCTATTTTAAAAATCAAGAGGGTTGATATAACAAACCATAACTTACTTTTTAATTTTTTTTTTTCTGGTACCACTGCTCTACCACTGAG